CACTTGACGAGCCGCAATGATGTCGCTCCTGCGTAGTGACAGTGCAGTGCTCAAGTGCTGGTGACTTCACTGGCTTCTGCACGTGTAAATAATACCTAAACCGTGCATATTTAGGAGAAATTCACTGTAGCCTTGTTACAGGCTTAGCTGTAGGTACACAAAAAATAAACAGAGTTTACTAACTCTTTAACACCACCACTAGTAAAATTAGATACAGAGTCTTGTAAATTGTATCCCATAACAACCAGCAAGCTGAAATCATCCAACTATGGTTATGACCATGGCGTTTCATCACACAAAATATTACACAAAGACGACATATCACTTACAAACTTCATGTATACTTACAGCTTTGGAAACTTTTGTATTGCCATTTGTTTCTGGTTTTGAACTTCTCATTTTCATTCCCTCTGTGGAAAATAAAAGATGTGTAATTACATCTCTGGTTGATTATGTCTTATTTTTGGCATAGTTATCTGCTGTAATAGCTTTCTTTTGAATAGCGAATTCTGCTATGCATTAGCAAAATTGTATCCTCCTTGATCAAACCACCACACATAATGATACATTTTGTTTTTTTTGTTTTTTATTATGTTAACGATTGTGCTGTCCAAGGTTTATTTCTAATCAGGTATGCAAAGCTATCTCCCTACCAACTCATCTGAAACCTGAATCTGAATGTTGAAGATACCATTGCTGGGGCTGAGGACCAAAAGTCACCCTGGAGCCTAACAGTTGCTAGTCTGGCTGACTTCAGGTGACCTCTGCCCGCCCACCCCCCCCTCCCGACACTGGCTTAAAACATTGTGGAAGCATAGCGAGTAGGGTACTGTAAGAAGAATGAGCTGGAGTAAGGTCTTATATTTACCAGCAGTTCAAAAGGTTACCATACAGTATGTGTGTTTGCAGAGACAGCAAACAAGCACCGATGGACCAATAACAAATCAGCACGCTACACACTGATAAACTATTAGGTAATAATCATCAGTCCTACATTTTACAATAATTTTGTATGAATAATAAGCAAACTGTTTTGTGCAAAACTAGTCAACTCTGCAGGTGTAAATGTCATTTTTTCATATAATCTACATTTAGCTCTGCAATTAATGCACAAAGTGGCCATATAAAACCAAAACGTTGTATGCATATATTGTAGTTTTAGGAACTGCTACTGGAAGCAGTGGTGTATAAACTAAAAGATACCAAAGCTTTCTTTTAACATTGGTTCCTTCTGTTCATCATCCTCGTCTTCCTCGATGAGTGGAGAAAATGCAAACCTGTTGAAGATGACATCGTTAAGTTCACACATTAAAGGATCCAGAAGAATGTGTTGATTTACTAAAAAGAGATGAGAATCTTCCCTCTGTAAATAATAAAGTGCTCACTTTGAATATCCAATCATGAGCAGATGGAAGAAACAGGGATTTATCTTTTACATGATTGGATAACATAAGTGAATTTAGGTAAAGTGAAGGCTGATTTACTAAAGTAGGTAGAAAAAAAGAAAAAAAAAAAAAGACACTACAACCCCTGGCAAAAGTATGGAATCACCACTCTTAAAAAAAATGTTCATTCAATTGTTTCTGCAGAAAAAAAAAAAACAATTACAGATATGCCTCTAAACTATTTTCATTTAACATTCCAATCTTCTGGCTTTAAGAAACACTTAAAAAATAAAAAAGAAAGAAAACTGAAGTCAATTGCAACTGCTTTTGCAGATCAAGCAGAGGAAAAAAATATAGAATCACTCAATTGAGAAAATGATTATGGAATCACCATGTACTTTGCAGTTCTAAAACAAACATCTGCATCCGATTACATCTGCTAATTAGTCTGCAGTTAAAAATAGAGTGCTTGCACATCTTTGGGAGCTGTTGCACCAAGCTGATTGACATGAATCATGGCTGCAACACGAGAGATGTTGGTTGAAACAAAGGAGAGGACCATAAAACTTCTTCCAGAAGGTAAATCATCACAGAATGTTGCAAAAGCTGCGTCTCAAATCTGGACCAAATACAAATCAAATGGGAAGGTTGTAAAAAGGAAAATGTACTGGTAGACCAAGGAAGACATCAAAGCGTCAACATAGAAAACTTAAAGCAATATGCCTTGAAAACAAAAATGCACAACAAAACAAATGAGGAACAAATGGGCAGAAACTGGAGTCAATGTCTGTAACCGAACTACAAGACATCACCTAAAGGAAATGGGATTTACACACAGAAAAGCCAAAAAAAAATCATCATTAACACCTAAACAGAAAAAAACAAGGTTACAGTGGGCTAAAGAAAAGCAATCATGGACTGTGATGACTGGATGAAAGTGATATTCAGTGATGGATCACAAATCTTCATCTTCAGGGTGATGATGCTGGAACTTTTGTTTGGTGACGTTTCAATGAAATGTATAACGATGACTGAAGAAAACATGCAAATTTCCACAACCATTGATGATATGGGGTTGCATGTCAGGTAAAGGTACAGGGGAGATGACAGTCATTAAATCTTGAATAAATGCACAAGTTTATATTGGAACTTTGGACACTTCTTATTCCATCAACTGAAAAGATGTTTGGTGATGATGACATTTTTCAGGATAATAATGCATCTTTCCATAGGGCAAAAGCCGTGAAAACTTTCCTTCCTTCAAGACATATAATCAATCAATGGCATGACCTGCAAACAGTCCGGACCTCTATCCAATTGAAAATCTATGGTGGAAATGAAAGAAAATGGTCCATGACAAGGCTCCAACCTCAAAGCTGATCTGGCAACTGCAATAAGAGAAAGTTGGAGCCGAACTGATGAAGAATACTGTTTCTCGATAGTTAAATTCATGCCTCAGAGAATTGAAGCTGCTTTAAAAGCCAGAGGTGGTGCAACAACGTACTAGTGGTGTACTGCAGTGTTTTATTTTCATGATTCCATAATATTTTCCTCAGAATTGAGTGATTCCATATTTTCTTCCTCTACTTGACCTGCAAAACCAGTTGCAACTGTCTACAGTTTTCTTTTTTAGGCGTTTCTTAAAGCCAGAAGGTTGGAATGTTACATGAAAATAGTGTTGAGGTATGTCTGTGATTAGTTTTTTTTCCTAGAGAATTAAATGAACATTTTCCAAGAGTGGTGATGCCATACATTTTGCCAGGGGTTGAAATTCAACCATTAAAACACACACACACTCTCCTACCCACAGTTGATCCAGAAAAAAAACAAACAAAAAACAAAGCATGATCCAATTTACTCCAGTGGGGGAAGTACATTTCTTAATGATCCCCCATAAGGGGATCAGATATTCCCTGGATCAACTAATCCTGCTGGTATCATTACTTCTAAATATTAACATATTTAACCAACATCCAGTTACTTATATTTTGTGCACTTAGGAATGCATCTAGTTATTTTTTTTTTTTTTTTAAACATTCTGCTAAGTTGGATAGACCTAGTTCTTGAGTGTGTCTATTCCACATTTTTACAGCTCTTACTGTTAAGAAGCTTTTCCGCATGTGAAGATTAAACCTTTTCCTCCAGATGTAAAAAGTCCCCCCTTGTCCTCTGTAATGGCCTGAAAGTGAATAAACTCTACACCAAGTTCACTATATGGACCACTTATGTGTTTATACCCCTTCCCCCACCTGCCTTAATCACCTATTCCCGGTAGAGAATAAATTCGGTTCAGCTAAGCTTTCCTCGAAGCTGATCTCCTCCATGCCTCTTATCAGTTTGGTTGCGCACCTCTGCACTTTCTCCAGTTCCCCAATATCCTTTTTGTGAACTAGTTTCCAAAACTGACTTGTATATTTTAGATGAGGTCTTAATAATGATTAGTACAGAGGCAAAATGATGTCTGTCTCTGGAGTCTATACCACTTAACACAACAAAGGATTGTGCTAGCTTTAGAAACTGCAGGTTGGCATTGCATGCATTAAGTCTATGATCTGCCAGAACACTCAAATTCCATCTCCACCAGGAGGAGTAATCCTTACTCAGATTGTGGGAGAAGGTTCTTAAATATTTTAGTATATCAGCCTTAGTATCTCTTTAGTGCAATCCTGCGTGGGACATTCAGACAGGAGAGCTGAGACCCTTCTAGATTTAGGTGTAAGACTCAAAAGGTATGCTGCAGAAGAATATGGAACAGCAATGTAAAGATCTTGAAACAATAGTAGCCAGTGGATAAAAAAAATGAAGGTGGTTTGAGAGTGATTCCTTCAATAAAATATACAGCAATAACACAAACATTAGGGTTGATTTAGGGCTCATGCGTAATGAATGTCTGCATTTTTCTTCTGAATGCCTTTTACTCCTGGCAGGAAAAAGCAGCTTAAAAAAGTTCCTAAAGCTGCGCTTTCTACAAGTGTTTAGGTGTGTTTATGCATTCTATTGGCCAGAATATTACTTTATTTAGTCCATTACAATACATTAACTCGCAAACACACCTAAATCTGTCTTTACTCTGAATACCCAATCACAAGAGGAAAACTAAAAAGCATGATTTTTGCTAGCATATAATTGGTTATTCAGAGTGAACACTACTTCACCTTATTTAAGAACATTCGCTTTACTGGGTAAACAGCTTCTACTCCTTTAACAAATAAACATTGCACACAGAACAGAAGAAATTTACTTAATGTGCTGTTCCATCAAGGAAAATAAGCATCCAAGATATTTCCTTTCCTGAACTGATCACTTATTAGCTCCTCTAAACTGCGCACAAGAAACATGTGCAAAAGAAGAAAAGCTTCTAGTACGTTAAAGGGATTCCTGTAACCAAACACCAAAGGATTAGGTAGCTTCTTAACACTAGTTATTACGCACTCCTTATTACATGTTTGAGTAATCTGCTTTATTGCTTGCAAAAATCTCAAGGATCATATCCTGCTTTGCTCTATCTACCAAGTCTGAAAATGAACAGGCCAGCTTTACAAACCTCTGATTATTTGCAGATGGCCTCCAAAGGACCATGATGACAAACAGGATCATGGAGAAGAGAAGGCGCCATATAGCATCATCTACCCAGAGCTCCTGCCAATCCTGCCAAATAAAAAAATGGTAAAATTAGAGCAGTTCATGAAAAAGGTGCACTCATGGAAGTGGCAGTAAATATATTAGACTGTAGATACATAAATCTTGTTCAATGGCAGCTGCTGAAATGACAAGACTATTAGCTACCCATACATTGAATATCAAAATTCAGACAGTTCATCAGGGACTGGCCAAATTTCGATCCATCTTTGGCCGTTTCCGCACGACAGAAGTCTATTTAAGAACTGGTTTCTGTCAAGTGAAACCTTGTCACCCTGCCAGCTTCAGCCTCTGATTAGTATATTCTGATAGCAGAGTCACCCCGCTGTCAAAATACAATGGCATAGCAGGGAGGATTCCTCCATCCACCTCAATAGTGTGGATGGGGGAATCCATTGTTTGTTTGTTTTTTGGATCAAAAAAGTGTCATCTATAGCCAGCGTTTGGTATGTTGGCTGTGTTCACATGTATAATGTATACTGTGTATATATAACTCATCCGCCCAGGGGTGGAAGGAGATGTGGGATATAGATAAATTATGTTAATAGGAAGATATTGATTTGATGTCTTTTTAAAGAAGAAAATGAATGCGATTTGTATTTGGTTGAAAATTAATAAATATTTATAAAATAAAAAAAAATAACTCATCCGCCCATAGTTAATACTTGTATCACTTGCCCTTCCCTTTAGAGTTGGGCTCTCCTAACCCACTTGTCTTGTAATTGTATATTCACATCATTGATTGCATTAGGATTTTTATAGTTTTATGAGTAATCCTTTATTTGCATGATGAATTTGGACATATTTACCTCTATTTTTTCCTTTAACTATGCACTGGCACTTTAAGGTATATGATGTAATTTTTATTTGTATGAAGAAATTTTGACTTTTTTTTTTTTTTTTTGCTTGAACTAGCACTTTAAGGTACATGATATGATCTAGTATTGATGCAGTTGTGAAGAGCACCTACCCATCTAGACATTTAGTTTTATTTTTGTATTCAGACATTTAGAGTGCTGCATCCCAACATATACTAAGTGCAAAAGAATTGTTCTTTATACACAGTACTGATAACTGCTAGTATTATCTGCCATATAAACAATTATTTTCATACTGAACATGAAAGCCAGTTCTTATACTGTAGTGGTCACTGAAATTCCAAGTTCAAACGCAAACTCAGACATAGGAATTGGTGTTAAAATAACACCAATAGGGCTTGTGTTGATGGAATTGTTTTGACATCAGTTTGAGAAGCTTCTGAGATCATTCCGATTCACTGACAGGTACATTTGACCGCCCTCTGATGTACATTTGATCTGCTTCAAGCAGGTTTTACATTCCTATAGACTTGTGTGGGAATGTAAAACTAGTCTGACGTGAACAAAAGCCTTCAACATAGGGACTAACACTGTTCAAGCATGCTGAAAGTTTTCATGAAAAATAAAAAAAAAAAGACAATCACTGTGCTGAGCTCATTATAAATGATACAGTTCGCATTAAGATATAAATGTATATGACCAATAACAATAACCACAATCCTTAAAGCGGAGTTCAACTCAAAAGTGGAAGCTCCGCTTGTTTGCCTCCTCCCTCCCTCCACTGCCATATTTGGCACCTTTTTTTTTGGGGGGGGGGGGGGGGGGGGGGGGGAGTGGTTACCTGGTTTTGACAGGTACCCACACCCACCTCCGGCTCTGTTCGCCACAGTGAAGTGAGCTGGACGTTCGGTCCCCTCCTTCCTCCCGCAGTCTCATGGGAACCTTCACAGGTCCCAGAAGACTGCCGGACCAATGTGCAGTGGGCACCCGGCTGTGAAGCTGCAAGCTGTCACAGCCTGGTGCCCACAGTTGTGATGCCAGTGCCGAGGAGAGATGAGACAGAGAAGGGTGAGCACATCGCTGGACACTGGGACAGGTAAGTGTTCATCAAAAGTCAGCAGCTACAGTTTTTGTAGCTGCTGACTTTTAATAAAAACAAAACTGACTGGAACCTCGCTTTAACTATCCAAGTTGCAGAATCACTGGACAACAGTTCAGATCTTTGTTGCTGTGAATGAATCCATGCAATACTTTTTTCGCACCAGGTCTCCTTTAGAGGACTTTTGCCACTCTGTGAAAATGATTGCACATGTCATATTGATGTGCCATCATTTTCATAGAGCCACAATCACTTTTCCTGGCTAAAGCAACAAGGCATATGTTATAAGCTGGTGTTTCTAGCAACAATAACGTGTGTTTCAGTGGTGTAAAGACTTTCAGATCAAGACTACTGTACATTGTTCTGACTTATTAGGTGATGGAGGGATAAAGTAATTATCAAAATTCTAAAGCCGTTTGACAGAAACTTACTGATTGACAGTCTACGAGGCGGAACTTCATAGTGGTCCAGATAATAAATACAATTGATGCTACAAGGACAAACAAATAATTGTATTCATATTCACAAAATTAACAGGTAAATATATGCATAAACACTTTTTGCAAAAAAAAAAATTGAAGTGAAATTTGTAAACCATAAGAAAATATATGAAAAGTAAACGAATGCTGCTGCGCTTGTGAATAAAAACCTAATGTGAACTACCCGTGTAATGCAGCAGTCCTAATTGTGAACTTGTAAACACAAAATTAATAATAAATACCATGTGGACAGCGCATAAACAATAAAAACTTGACGACACTCAAAAATAATCAATCATAAGTAATAAACATCTAATTAAACTGGTTGTATTAGGTTTGCAGTCCCAAAATAGGAAAATAAGGTGCAAGCGTGCTATGTTCTTGATTGTGAACTCTGTATTAAATTAAAGGAAGTGCCTGATGACGATCCCAATAAAAGCACTAGTGACCATCCTAGAGCTAGGTGGTCATGAGATGACGGTGAGTGCAAATCCATTTGGGGCACCGGTCTGAGCACAGTGGAGCACTTGTCACTTTAATACGGAGTTCACAATCAAGAACGTAGCATGCTTGCACCTTATTTTCAAATTTTTGGACTGCATACCTAATACAACCAGTTTAATTAGATGTTGTTTATTACTTATGATTATTGATTATTTTTAAGTGTCATCAATTTTTTATTGTTTACACAACTTATGCGCAGTCCACATGGTATTCATTCATAAGAAAATATAAATGATTTATATACTGAGAAGCAAGGAGAGACTCATGCGCTGCCAAAATACCCTTACAGGGAAAAGCTGTTGCCTACAAAAAATGTGTTCCCACATAAGAGTGACAAAGAAAAATTTGTCTGTAGTGTGGTGCTGCTAATAAGTGCATAAATAACAAAGGCCAATAAAAGAAAGTAAATATATCAAAAACCAATAAAGTGAAGCAAAAATGGATGCATTAGCTGCTAGCAAACACCCTGCTGACCATCAAACCCATGCGCCAATCAATCCTCTTTAAATTCAAAAATATATATTAAAATATAGTGCATAAGCACCAAATTACAGCTGTATAGAAAACACTACAGTAGACGCAATTAAAGAATAAAAAATGACACCTGGCTGACCATCCAACCTATACAGGGCAAAAAGTGCAAAAACAAATAAAATATAATAATCTATTTGATTTTTCCCTATTTGTCCAACATGGATTTGATGGTCAGCCAGGTGTTTATTTTTTATGCTTTGTGTCTATTTAGTGTTTTCTATACAGCTGTAATTTGGTGCTCATGCACTATATTTTAATATATATTTTTGAATTTAAAGGATTGATGCACAGGATTGGGGGTCAGCAGGGTGTTTGATGATCCATCCATTTTTGCTTCACTTTATTGGTTTTTGATAAAATGATTTATATAACTTATCTGCAGTACATGCATACATTACATAAATGTGAATTGGACAAGTTGGTAGTCTACAATGAAGAGAAAGATTTGAAGAGGCTTATCTTGACTGCTCATGCTGCTGTGGTTGGCTAGTAACTAACTGTTTTGTCACATGACAGAAGAAGCAGGTGGGTGGGTGGGTGGCATTTTTCCAATTCAGAACAAACATCTTATTTTACAATAAAGTAACATTACAGGACAACCAGACTTACCTACTACAGCCAAGATAAGCGTATTTGTGAAGTGTCTGTAAAGAGACAGCTTGACCACGTTCCTTCGTAGCCTCAGCAGTTTCATGGTTTGTGTCAGGCTAATGAAGATGTGCAGGATGGTTAAGGAAAAAGCAGGGCTGCTAAAATCTAAGGGACCATACATTCTTCTAAAAAAAAAAAAAAATCATTCTGCTAACAGCTGTCTTATTCTTACCTCTAAGATACCATCTATTAAACATAGACACATTAACCAATGCAGTATACGTTTTCTTTGGTTGAATCACTGTTGAAAGCTATACTCCATTAAACCTTCAAAACCTTGTTGTTAAGACCAAATACCAGACCATTTTGACAGGCAATCCTTTGACATCTCCGTGTCAAAGCTTACCAGTACTGTCCATCCCCACACAATCATGCTGGTCCATCCAAGCTAGAAATGGAAAATGTATGGAAATTGTGAAGACAGACAATATAAAAAAAAACTATTTTCCGTTTTTTTTCTAGAAAAAAATGTAAATTTTCAGAATTTTAAAAATTCAATGTGGAGTAGTTGAAATTGAAAGTCATTATGTTACACTGAGAACGTAAAATGCACTATATAAAAAAGTATTAAGTTTGAAATAAAAGTACAGTTTATTCAATAAACTAAACTTACTTTTTAAAAAATTCATACTCTGACTCTAAAGGAGACTTGCTCAAGGAATGTCTGCTTGGCAAACAGTATGATGGGCATAAGCATTTAAAAGCTTCCTGCCAATATGCATTTTCTGTTATTGACAATGCTGATTCAGAAGCATATATTGCTCTTGCAAGAACTTGATCAATTTTCTCCTGATTTTCAGGTGCAATTTCATCTATAAACAAAGGGATTTGTGTTTTTCTGAGGCATTACATGAAGATGCTGCTGGTGAAGAAACACGTTGTGATGATCTAAAAGCAGCAAAAAGTGTTTTTGAAATTAAAACTTTGGAGGCAAAAAACTACTTGCACTTTATTTTGGTCCTCGTCATTAAATTCAATAAACTATTTTTAATGTCTTTAGGGCACCTCTTAAATGCCAGGATGTGTTGTCATCCTTGTAGCTTTTGGAAAAGAAGATTTTTGCACAATATTTGCAGATTATTGCAGCTTTGCTCTCAACAGGAAATGTTCCCAAACTCTAGATGTTAGTCTCATCTTTAACTGAGAGGAGGAAAAGGAAAAACAATTTTCTGAGCAGACTATAGGTAAACATTATGCTGTGATGCTGGAGAATATTATCATGATTCATGTAAAGGTTTTAAAGAAACTAAATTTGTCAGATAAATTTATCCTCTGTTTCAACAATCACCCAACTGTAGGAGGTGCAAGATGGAACCCACAAGCAAACTAAACTGAAACCTTTCCCCCGGATTCCCCCCAGTGGCAGAAATGCATATTTCTATTGTTTGAGAATGCATGGCAAAGAACAGTGTTACTTGAATTGTATTGCAGGGTTTGCTGTTAATCAGCTGAGAGAACTTGCAATACTTTAAGACTTTACATAAAGTCTCAGAATTTTTTTTTTCATTAAAGTCTTCATGTTGTATAGTTTGAATACCATGTCACAGATATATTATCATTGTAAAATAACATAGTCCACACCTTTTTTTTTTCCAGAAAAAAAACGGCTTTGGAAAAATTGGGAAGAAAGGTTTTTTTCCCCCCAACTTTTTAATTTTTTCTCCAGGCCTTCCCATCTCTAATCCAGGCTGGAGATTTGCCTGTCAGAATGGCCTGGTATTGGGCCTTAACAGCAACGTTTTTAAGGTTGCTGCAGGTATGTGCAGAATTACCTGTGTAAAATGGGCCTTTACCCTTACTCCAGCAACAAGCGCTTTCTCATATGCTCCTCTTCCAGTAGCTCTGTGTGCTGCTGTACCATACTACAAAATTCCTGTAACTGAAATCCTGATGTAGCAGACTTGATGCATACATGAATGTACAAAATATAAAGCCCTGCACACACTGTCAGCAGGATATAAATAAAAGCATACTTGTGAGAGCAGAATCTGGGACCAACAGTATGTACTAATTTATAATATATCCTTTACATATATTTAAAGTGGATTGATGTGTATAATTGTTCTTAGGTGATTACATAAAAAAATGAAATACATTTGTATTATTTGGCATTCTTTAAAAGGGTAACTCCACTTTTGTGGGAAAAATGCAAATAAATAATATGGCATAAACAATTGCTACGCAAGCCATATTGTGGCTGAATGCTATTACAATTACCTTTCCTTATCAATCTGCAGCACTGTAATTTTCTGCAAAATTCAATTCTATATGGCAGTGATGGCGAACCCGTGGCACGCGTGCCACAGCCGGCACGCCGAGCCTCATCTGTGGGCACGCCAGGAGAATACCGTATTTTTCGCTCCATAAGACGCACTTTTTTTCCCCCAAAAAAGGGGGGAAAATGTCAGTGCGTCTTATGGAGCGAATATAGAGCGGCCGGTCCGGTATTTCCACCGCCGTCGTGTCAGAATACCGGGCCGGCCGCTCAGCTCTGCAGTGGGACCTTACCTGTCCCTCTATCCAGCGGCGCGCTGTCTTCCCGGCTTCTGTAGTGTGCGTGACAGCCGGGTCCCAAGTGCGCATGCGCAAGAAGCAGTGCTTTGTGAATGGTAAGGCGGTACCTGGGACACATGACAGATCCCAGAAGCCGCCGGACCAATCACAAAGCGCAGCGCTTCTCGCGCATGCGCACTGGGCATCCGGCTGTCCGACGAGCGCCCACAATACAGAAGCCGGGAAGACAGCGCGCGGCTGGATAAAGGAACAGGTAAGATAAGAAAAAAACTCTGCGGAAGTAAGAGCGGGTACCTGTCAAATTCAGGTACCCGCTCCCCCTCCCTCCCCAAAGGTCAGCAGTCATCTGTACTGTCCGCAGTCTCTGGTCATCCCTGTACTGTGTCCGCAGTCTCTGGTCATCCCTGTACTGTGTCCGCAGTCTCTGGTCATCCCTGTACTGTGTCCGCAGTCTCTGGTCATCCCTGTACTGTGTCCGCAGTCTCTGGTCATCTCCTGTACTGTGTCCGCAGTCTCTGGTCATCTCCTGTACTGTGTCCGCAGTCTCCGGTCATCCCTGTACTGTCCACAGTCTCTGGTCATACCCTGTACTGTGTCCGCAGTCTCTGGTCATCCCTGTACTGTCCGCAGTCTCTGGTCATCCCTGTACTGTCCGCAGTCTCTGGTCATACCCTGTACTGTGTCCGCAGTCTCTGGTCATCCCTGTACTGTCCGCAGTCTCTGGTCATCCCTGTACTGTCCGTAGTCTCTGGTCATCCCTGTACTGTCCGTAGTCTCTGGTCATCCCTGTACTGTGTCCGCAGTCTCTGGTCATCCCTGTACTGTCCGTAGTCTCTGGTCATCCCTGTACTGTCCGTAGTCTCTGGTCATCCCTGTACTGTGTCCGCAGTCTCTGGTCATCCCTGTACTGTCCGCAGTCTCTGGTCCGCAGTCATCCCTGTACTGTGTCCGCAGTCTCTGGTCATCCCTGTACTGTGTCCGCAGTCTCTGGTCATCCCTGTACTGTTAATTAGTTTTCACTACTGTACGAGTTGTTTTTTCTAAACCAAAAGCTCGATATTCAGGTTTCATTGCAGTGTTGGCACTTTGAAAGAAATAAGTTGGTTTTGGGTTGCAGTTTGGGCACTCGGGCTCAAAAAGGTTCGCCATCACTGCTATATGGCAAACCTGGAGGCATTCCATACACCAATCATTCAAAACTTGATATACTTGGTCAAATATTTTCTAATTTGACTGAAAATTGTCACTGGCTAGATATATCCACAAATGTCTGTTTTTCTAGACTCAACTAAAATATAACAAATTTAACAACCAGTTCTCTTTTGTTGATTGTTTCAACATTCCTATGCTTGATTGGAAGACACCTACAGAAGACATCTTACTGAAAGTTTACATCTATAGCCCGTCCAGAACAAAGTGTGCAATTCAGTCCTATATGGACCAAATGGTGACTGGATTCCATTCGCATGAACAGGTAGGTCAACTGGAATCATGACTACTATATACAGTTATTTGCAGTAGACATCTGAATGTCTACACAGAAAAAAGGGCTTGTTAAAAGGCTGCCAACAGGTTATCAGCAACATTTGCTATAACTTAGTGTTTACAGGTAGAGCGGATTCAGTTAATGAACACCAATTTTAAAGAGGATTACCTTCCTACCAAAGTTATCAGACACAAGTGCAGGTATTGGATTCTATATCCAATGACATGTTTTAAAGATATACTGAAACCCAAAGTGTATTTAGGTTTACTGGTATATTAGAATCAAACATGTTTCTCAGGTACCTAAATCCAAACAGACACCTATCTGTTCACGGAGTAAATTCTCACATGCATGGCTTATTTACAGGAGGATGGCACCAACATCCCGAACAAGATTCAAAGAACCAATATATGGAATGATTAATTTTTAGAATTTCTTGATAATTGATCTATGGATGAAGAGCAGACAACTCCAGCTGTCAGTAGGAAATGACTGTGATAGCAAACAGTTAGGATGTAGAGTAGGATAACCATGTATGCACTCATCATTTGTACCTACCCCCACGTAAAAAGAGAAATGCAGCTTGGGCATCAGAAATGGAAATTCTTAGATATAACCACTCATACTGTATATGGCTTAATTTTTTTCCCACTGCAACTGATCAATCAGAATTGGTAAATATTATGGTATATGACTACCCTTACCTAAAAGAGGAATTCCAAGTATAGATATCTTATAAAAATAGTTACATTAGTCCAGCTTCTCTGACTGGAATAGGTGGACAGCGCAATGTCACTGCTTGCCGCTCTACCTTGCTCAATCAGAAAATGATTTGCATTCCTTCAGAAAATGCAAAGCATTCTCTGACTGGTGCCCGCACTGAACGGGGCGACCTCCCGTGTTCAAAACACACCAGGTTAACAGCTCAACACAGGACCTGGAAACAAGTGGAGATTCACTGTAGCAGCTTTGTTTACTTCAGTGATTTCCAGCTTTCAGTGCCATGAGCCAGGTATGGTACAGTTAGGTCCATATATATTTGGACACAGGCACAATTTTAGTTTTTT